GTGGGGAGGGAGGAGTAAAAAGGAGAGGGTGGGGGGAGGAATGAGGAGGGAGGGATGAGGAGGGGTGGAATGGAGAAGACAGATGGACAGAGGGGTGGGGGAGGAGAGGATGGGGAGTGAGGTGGAGAGGGGGAGGGGTGGAATGGGGAAGACAGGTGGACAGAGGAGGGGATGAGGGAGGAGGGGAGGGAGGAGGGGAGGGAGAGGGGAATGGAGGGAGGAGGAGGGAGGGAAAAGGTTGGAATGGGGAAGACAGATGGATGGGGGGGGGGTATGGGATGGAGGAGGAGGTGGGGTGAAGAGGGGAGAGAAGGAGGAGAAGCGAGAGAAGGGGTGGAATGGGGAAGACAGATGGACATTTGGTGATTGCTCGAAACTATTACTGTTGCTGCAGTTGTTGTTAATGTTGTTATTGTCAATGATTATGTTGTTGTTGTTGTTATTGTTGGTGGTGGTGTTGTTATTGTCATTGGCTATGTCATTGTTATTGCTGTGGTGATGGTGGTGGTGATGATGGTGGTGGTGGTGGTGTTATCATTGTCATTGGCTATGTCGTTGCTGTTTTGTTAAAGGCAGAATAAGAACACAGTACAAGGAAATGGAGTTTAAAAAATACACAGAGAACAAGGTGTGAGTTATGATGGTCACTGACTTTACTTGGCAAAGTCAACAGATAGTTTAAAATCTAAAAATATTAATTTATCTTTCCACTTCATTTCCATCAAAACTGCTATAATCTATCAGCAGAGCTTCTTTGCATTGATTGAATGTACACACTCGGTCTGAGGGACGTGCTGGAAAACTCTTGTTACAAGTGACCACAATGAGTTGTTTTTTGTTTTGTTTTGGAAAGTGTTTTATGGTACTTGCAACTGCATAAGGTCATATGAGCGCGTCCAACACATTAAACTTTTTCAGTTGGTGGGAATTTTGAATTTTGCCCGGGTGGCGCCCGAAGCCTACTCATATCGATTTTAGACCACCAAAGGATCTTTAACGTGCGCGACTTGCACACAGGCCCTCCTAGATTTTTCGCCCGTGTCCGAGAAGGCTAGGTGTAGATCTTTCCTACCAGAAGATCAGGGTTGAGGCTTAAAGACAGCAGTAAGAAGGAGCCAAGGAGCAGCAGTAGAAAGGTTGCATGAAGAGTCAGGAGCCCAGATGAGGGGGCAAAGGAGGTGAGGGGGTTGGGGCAGAAAAAGAAAACAGACGACAGAATATTGCTACACAGCAGGACAGGAGGTGAAATGATATCAATTTTAGAGAAGAAAAATGTTTCGGTCGCTACCCGAATTCGAACCTGGGACCTTTGAATGAGAGGCCAACACCTTAATCTCTAGGCCACGAGAACC